CTATTTTCGGTATTTTGATGATTTTACCGACATTATTTAACGGAATTGTTTCAAATTTTGTATTTGAAGTTCGTAATGGATACTGTAGCCTATGACAGAAAATTGTCTGTGCAGGTCTACGACTTCCTATAGCCCCCGTATAAAAGTACCTCCCAATATTCGATATTTTGATGATTTTAGCGACAATATCCACCGGAATTGTTTCAAATTTGGTATTTGAAGTTCGTAACGGACACTACAGCCTATGACAGAAAATGGGCCATGTAGGCTCACGTCTTCGTATAGTCCCCATATTAGGGTACCACCCGATATTCGGTATTTTGATGATTTTAGCGACATTATTCACCGGAATTATTTCAGATTTGGTATTTGAAGTTCGTAATGGATACTATAGCCCATGACAGAAAATTGTCTGTGCAGGTGCACATCTTCGTATAGCCTCCCGATATTCGATATTTTGATGATTTTTGCGAAATTATTCACCGGAAATGTTTCAAATTTGGTATTTGAAGTTCGTAATGGATACTGTAGCCTATGACAGAAAATCGTCTGTGCAGGATCGCGTCTTCGTATAGTCCCCATATTAGGGTACCTCCCGATATTTGGTATTTTAATGATTTTAGCGACATTATTTACAAGAATTATTTCAAATTTGCTATTTGAAGTTCGTAAAGTGTACTAAAGCCTATGACAGGAAATTGCAGGTGCAGGTCCACATCTTTGTATAGTCCTCATATTAGGGTACCAACCGATATTCGGTGTTTTGATGATTTTAGCGACATTATTCACCGGAATTGTTTCAATTTTGGTATTTGAAGTTCGTAATGGATAATACAGCCTAAGACAGAAAATTGTCTATGCAGGTCCACATATTCGTATAGTCCCCATATTAGGGTACCACCCGATATTGGGTATTTTGATGATTTTAGCGACATTATTTACCGAAATTGTTTCAAATTTGGTATTTAAAGTTCGTAACGGATACTACAGCCTATGACAGAAAATTGTCTGTGCAGGTTCACATCTTCGTATAACCCCCATATTAAGGCACCTCCCTATTTTCGGTATTTTGGTGATTTTAGCGACAGTATTCATCGAAATTGTTTCAAATTTGGTATTTGAAGTTCGTAATGGATACTGTAGCCTATGACAGAAAATTGTCTTTGCAGGTCCACATCTTCGTATTGTCCCCATATTACGGTACCACCCGATATTCGATATTTTGATGATGTTAGCGATTATTATTCACCGGAATTGTTTCAAACTTGGCATTTGAAGTTCGTAATGTAGACTACAGCCTATGACAGAAAATCGTCTGTGCAGATACACGTCTTCGTATAGCCCCCATATAACGTTACCTCCCGATATTCAGTATTTTAATGATTTTAGCGATTATTATTCACCGGAATTATTTCAAATTTGGCATTTGAAGTTCGTAATGGATGCTGCAGCCTAAGACAGAAAATTGTCTACGCAGGTCCACATCTTCGTATAGCCCTCATATAACGGCACCTCCCTATTTTCGGTATTTTGATGATTTTAGCGACATTATTCACCGGAATTGTTTCAATTTTGGTATTTGAAGTTCGTAATGGATAATACAGCCTAAGACAGAAAATTGTCTATGCAGGTCCACATATTCGTATAGTCCCCATATTAGGGTACCACCCGATATTCGGTATTTTGATAGTTTTAGCGACAGTATTCATCGAAATTGTTTCAAATTTGGTATTTGAAGTTCGTAATGGATACTGTAGCCTATGACAGAAAATTGTCTGTGCAGGTGCAGATCTTCGTATAACCCCCATATAACGGTACCTCCCTATATTCGGTATTGTGATGATTTTAGCGACATTATTCACCGGAATTGTTTGAAATTTGGTATTTGAAGTTCGTAATGTGTACTACAGCCTATGACAGAAAATTGCAGGTGCAGGTCCACATATTCGTATAGTCCCCATATTAGGGTACCACCCGATATTGGGTATTTTGATGATTTTAGCGACATTATTTACCGAAATTGTTTCAGATTTGGTATTTAAAGTTCGTAACGGATACTACAGCCTATGACAGAAAATTGTCTGTGCAGGTTCACATCTTCGTATAGCCCCCATATTAAGGCACCTCCCTATTTTCGGTATTTTGGTGATTTTAGCGACAGTATTCATCGAAATTGTTTCAAATTTGGTATTTGAAGTTCGTAATGTAGACTACAGCCTATGACAGAAAATTGTCTGTGTAGGTACACATCTTCATATAGCTCCCGTTTAAAAGTACCTCCCAATATTCGATATTTTAATGATTTTAGCGACATTATTTACCGGAATTGTTTCAAATTTGGTATTTAAAGTTCGTAACGGATACTTCAGCCTATGACAGAAAATTGTCTGTGCAGGTCCATATCTTCGTATAGCCCCAATATTAGGGTACCTCCCGATATTCGGTATTTTGATGATTATGGCGACATTATTCACCGGAATCGTTTCAAATTTGGTATTTGAAAATCTTCATGGGTACTTCAAGTTATGGCAAAAGATTACGTATTCAGTTCTACGTCTTCGTATAGCCCCCATATAAGGGTACCACCCGATATTCGGTATTTTGATGATTTTAGCGACATTATTCACCGGAATTGTCTCAAATTTGCTATTTGAAGTTCGTAATGTGTACTACAGCCTATGACAGAAAATTGTCTATACAGGTCCACATCTTCGTATAGCCCTATATTAGGGTACCACCCGATATTCGGTATTTTAATGATTTTAGCGATTATTATTCACCGAAAATGTTTCAAATTTGCTATTTGACGTTCGTAATGTGTACTACAGCCTATGACAGAAAATTCTCTGTGCAGGTACAGATCTTCGTATAGCCCCTATATTAGGGTACCTCCCTATTTTCGGTATTTTGGTGATTTTAGCGACAGTATTCATCGGAATTATTTCAAATTTGGTATTTAAAGTTCGTATTGAATACTACAGCCTATGACAGAAAATTGTCTATACAGGTCCACGACTTCCTATAGCCCCCGTATAAAAGTACCTCCCAATATTCGGTATTTTGATGATTTTAGCGACATTACTTACCGGAATTGTTTCAAATTTGGCATTTGAAGTTCGTAATGGATAATACAACCTATGACAGAAAATCGTCTGTGCAGATCCACATCTTCGTATAGTCCCCATATTAGGGTACCACCCGATATTCGGTATTTTGATGAATTTATTTTTTTCAGGTTTTGCATTTGAATATTGTAATGGCATATGACAAAAGTTCCCTATGCAGGTCCATTTCGTCGTATAGACCCTAATATAGTATTCGGCTACATTCGTTATTTTTAAGATTTAAACCGAATTTATTTTTTTTTTGAAAATTGCTAAATTCCTTCCAAATGGTGGAGGGTCGGCCGAACTTACAGCTTTCTTTGCTTGTTTTTATATACCCTCTATCCCATGGTGAAGTACCCAGTTTCGGTTTTGTCAAATAAATCTGATTGTGTGTACCCCATAAGTTAATATTTTATTTTAGAAAGGTCGTTTTTACAAAGAATAATTTTTAATTTTGTCATTTAAATGTAATAGTGTGTACCCCATAGTTTTTACATAGAATACTTTTATATTTGCCTCATACCCCAAAAGGGGGGTACCAATTTTCAGTTTTGTCATTTAAATTTGATAATATGTACCCCATTTAGTAATACTATAATTTAAAAGGTCGTTTTTACATAGAATACTTTTTTATTTGCCTTATATCCCAGAGTGGGGTACCTAGTTTTGGTTTTTTGTAAAAATAGCTTTTCATAAAAATATATAAAACATTTCATAAGGTCGTTGTTACATTGTTTGTTTTTCTATGTCTGTGTCTTATAACTCAAAGTGGGGTACCCAGTTTCGATTTAGTCATTCTCATCTGTCAGTGTATACCACGTTTATGAATGTAAAACAGATGTAACAAATTTTTGTGTAAAAACGACATGTTTTCTTAATGTAAAAATGGCTTTTTCCAAAATTTTTGGATTATTTATGATCTTATTATAAACTGTAGAAGGCCGTTTTTACAAAGCATGCTGTTATATTTTCCTCCACTTTTGGTTTTATCTGTCAAATCTGGTAGTGTGTAGCCCGTATATGAATGTAGAAGAGATGTGAGAATTTTCTGTGTAAAAACGACATGTTTTGGGAATCTTTGGATTATCGTTTTATTGTTTATGACTTTAAAACAAAATTCACATGGTCGTTTTTACATATCAAGCTTTTAAATTTTCTTTAGATATCAAAGTGGGGTACCCAATTTTGGTTTTAGCTGTCAAATCTGGTAGTGTCTAGCCCGTATATGAATGTAGAACTGATGTAAGGGAATTCTGTGTAAAAACGACATGTCTTGCGAATGAAAAAATGCTCTTTCCCAATTTTTTTGGATTATTTATGATATTTTTATAAAATGTAGAAGGCCGTTTTTACACAACATGCTTTTATATTTTCCTTAGATCCCAATGTGGGGTACCCAGTTTTGTTTTTAGCTGTCAAATCTGGTAGTGTGTAGCCCATTTATAGATTTAAAACAGATGTAAGGAAATTCTGTGTAAAAACGACATATTTTTCGCATATCAAAAATCTTTGTATTATTTATGATCTTTTTATAAAATGTAGAAGGCCGTTTTTATATAGCATGTTGCCATATTTTCCTTAGATCCCAATGTGGGGTACCCACTTTTGGTTTTAGCTGTAAAATCTGGTAGTGTGTAGCCCGTTTATGCATGTAAAACAGATGTAAGACATTTCTGTGTAAAAACGGCATAAAAGGGCCCCTTTCAAATGTGACAGCTTGCCATACGAAGAGATTAACCCTTAACACGTTACTTGTCTACACAATGTCTCCCCTTCCCAAATCTTTGGATTATTTATGATCTAACAAAGATGATGATGCCGATGCCGATGCTGATGCCGCTCACTTGGCTAGTTGACTTCTTGCCTTCTCGCCACTGGCCTCTTATCTGTTGCAAATATTTTGAAATTCAACAGAAAACTGAACAAAAAAAATCCAAATGTAAACAAAACACTTTCATGAATATGCTGCCAGAGTCCAAGGGAAGGAGAGAGCGAGCGAGCGAACGAGAGAACCACAACAATAACTAAAACAAATGACCGCACATTGATAAGGAATCACCAGCACCACATTGTTTTTGCAAAGACAGACAGAGTTTTGTTTGTGTAATCTTGAAAACAGAAAAACTAAAGCGCGCATTTCGGACAGGAACACCTCGAGAAAAAATATTTCAAAATCATTTTCATTTTTCAGTTGTTTAATTGCCGATTAGGAAAAGAGGCAACGGAGACGGAGAAAAACAAAAACATTTTTTAAAGGTTAAATAAAAAAGAAACCCAAATAAATATTGAAAATTCCCCAAAGAAACCAAAAAAAAAATTTTTTTTTGAGAAAATTGAAAGTGAATTGAATTCAAAAAAAAAAAAACTAAAAACATGTATCTACTTATTTCAATGCTACTGCTGGCCAGTGCTAATATTTCAATATTTGGCCTTCCCTCAAGGTCAACATATGGTCGTGGTAGGTATTTGTGAGCTGGCGTCATGACGAGTGATTACCGATTTTTGCGTTTCAAAAAAATGTTTAAATCCCTCTCCTCCCCCTCTCTGCTCGTAGATCGCTTCAATTCAAATTCAAGATGTGTTGATACCGAAACGGGCCGTGAACTTTATGTGGGTGATTCATTTACCAGATCTGGCCGTTGTATACGTGTACAGTGCTTGGATACGCTGGAGCTGTGGGAGGATAGGTAAGTAAGCTGTGTAATTAAAAAATGGAGCACCCTTCAAGAGGTTCTTCACAGATGGAGATCCATCTGAGATCCACGAAAAGGATATTTTGAAACATTTCCGGTGAATAACACCGCTAAAATCGTCAAAATACCGAATATAGGGAGGTATTGTTATGAGGGGGCCTTTACGAAGACCTGGATCTGCATACCCGATTTTTTGTCATAGGCTGTAGAAGCCATTGCGAACTTCAAATACAAAATTTGAAACAATTCCGGAAAATAATGACGCCAAATTATAAAAATACAGAAAATTGGAATTTATCGTTAAATGGAGATTATACGAAGACCTGGACCTGCATAGGCAATTTTCTGTCGTAGATTGTGGTACCCATTCCGCACCTCAAATATGAATTTTGAAACAATTCCGGCGAATAACGACGCTAAAAGTATCAAAATACCGAATATTGGAAGGTAACGTTATATGGAGGTTATACGAAGACCTAGACCTGCATAGACAATTTTCTGTCATAGATTGTGGTACCCATTCCGCACCTCAAATATGAATTTTGAAACAATTCCGGTGAATAACGACGCTAAAACTATCAAAATACCGAATATCGGGAGGTACCGTTAAATGGAGGCTATACGAAGACGTGGACCTGCATACGCAATTTTTTGTCACATGTTGTAGTTCCCATTACGAACTTCAAATACCAAATTTGAAACAATTCCGGTGAATAATGCCGCTAAAATCATCCAAATACCGAATATCGGGGGGTATCGTTATATGGAGGCTATACGAAGACGTGGACCTGCATACGCGATTTTTTGTCACAGGTTCTATTACCGATTTCGAACCTCAAATACGAAATTTGAAACATTTCCGGTGAATAACGCCACTAAAATCAACAAAATACCGAATATCGGGAGGTATCGTTAAATGGGGGCTATACCAAGACCTGGACCTGCATGGGCAATTTTCGATGACAGGCTCTAGCACCTGTTAGGAATTTCAAATACCAAATTTGAAACAATTCCGATGAATAATACCGCAAAAATTATTAAAATACTGAATATCAGGAGGTATCGTTATATGGGGGCTATACCTAAACGTGGACCTATATAGCCCATATTCAATACCAAAAGTTCTGCAGACCAAACACACATTTGAGTAAAATTTTATCAACCTACTTTAATTCGTTCGGAAGCTACAGTGATTTCAGCAGACGGACGGCCGGAGAGACCCTCCATACTATGATGGAGGGTCTAAAAATAGAAGGCCTTTGAAGAGGTCTGCCTAAAAATTAAAAGATCCTTTAAGGGGGTTTTCAAAGAAGACCTCTTGAAGGGCTCTCTGATACTACGTTTACACATTACCGGTTTTAGTGTACCCAATTCCATTGACAAATAAATCGAAATAAAGGAGGGTTAGGCCCTGCCAAAAAAGTTCTAATATTTACCTGCTATTCCAAAGACATCAGACCTCTTGGGAGTGGCTCCTATGACGAATTCCAACTCGTAACATTCCCTTTCTCTCCCATTACAGATGCCAAGTGCCCAAACTGGAGGGCAATTGTACCCGGGTCCCCGTGGCAAATGAATTTCTCGACTATCCCCGTTGCTGTCCCACCTATGAGTGTACCAAATATTCGATGGACGACAACAGTTACACCTATGAAACACGAATCTATGATCGCTATGGACGTCTGCTCAAGGAGCATGTGACCCAGAGTCTCCGGGTAATGGTGGATGCTCCAATGCCGGTTGCCGGCCAAAATTACCGCCAACTGGATAGCTGGAAACGGGACTACTCAAGGCCAACGGTGGTAGGCAATTCCAATCGCCGGGATAATGGCTATCAAATAAACTATAATTGATATTTAACAAAAAAAGAGTGTTTTTTTTTTTTATTTGACAAGTCTGGTAGGGAAATTGGGGTGAAAAAAATTGCTCGAAGTTAGAAAGCCATAACTATTCTCTAATAAATCCTCATAAAAAAGCTTAATCCGATTGTAAACCAACCATTAGTCCACTTAAAATATCTTTTTTTTTATTGAGCCTCTCTTCCAATTCCAATTCAATAATGAGAATCGAAGATACTAAAAATATGTTCAAATGTCCAAAATTCGAAAATTTGGCGATTTTCTAACTGTTAGGTTATGTTAAACATTTTACGTTACTTGAATCTATAATTGCAGTATTAACCACATTTATATAGGGGTGTCATCTGGTGACAAGCACAACGCATCATAAGTTTTTACAATGTTGATTTGTATTTAACACCTTTCACACATAGGCGCCATCTTTCGCCAAACTCAACGCATTACAAATAGTGCATAATAAATGAAATACGTTCCAAGTATGTTTATCTCAGCCGCAGCATTTGATAATGGCAACACCTGACGTTTTGTGACGAATGTTTCTCAAAGATGGTGCCCACAATGAAAGACGTTCCAAGTATGTATATCTCAGCCACAGCATGGCAACGCATGACGGTAAACTTAACGCTTCGCAGAGAGGATGACCACAATGAAAGACGTTCCAGGTATGTTTCTTTCCAACGCAGCATTTGACAATGACTTGACTACTTGGAAACGGTAAACTTACCGTTTCCAATTAGGATGACCACACTGAAAGACGTTCCAAGTCCGTTTATTTTAGCCGCGGCCCTTGACAAATCTTTACAATGGCAACACCTGACGGCAAACTAACCGTTTCGCAAAGAGGGTACCCACAATGAAAGACGTTCCAGGTACATGTATTTCTAAGGTGGCAACATCTGACTACAAATATGCCATTTTACAATGAGGGCGACCTAAATGAAATGCGTTGCGAGTTAATTTTTTTAAATAATTATTTGTAAAAAATACTAGAAAAACTAGAAAGAAAAGAAAGGTAAAATAATTTTCGATAACCACTAATCGAATACAAAAGCCATGGTACATGAATACTTAGGGAATCGCACCAACCTCGTCTCGACGGCATACAAAAAAAAATTACTAAAAATATTTATGAAAAGTTTCAAAATATTTTAAAAAGAACATTAGTAATTAGAGTGTTTTAGAACTGCAAGAATGTAAAAAGTCTTTACTACGATAATCGATATTCCCTTTGTGATATTGAAAAAAAAAACACATGTAAACCTAATAGATTCTTGCAGGTTCTGGAACAGAGCAAATATTTAGAAAATATTGGAAATCTATCAAAAAAACGTTACCGACATCGAAAAATTTTATAATAAAATTTCAAAAATTATAAAAATATTCATGTAGCTAATTTTTACAAAATCAGATTTTAAGAAAAAAAAATCAGCAATAGGTTAGAATATCGAATAGTGTCTTGGAAAATACCATACAACAAAGTTTCAAAATATTTTAAACAGAATTATCCAATAAAAATATTCCAAACTTGACAGCGGAATCGAACAATTTCTTTAAAAATTTCTTCAATAAAAAAAGGTCAAATATTATTCAAAAAAAAGAAAAAGAAGAAAAATACCTAAATAACTATTTTTTGCAAATTCCATGGTAGAATGAAAAAGGCAAAGTCATGCAGTGATATTTTCAATCTTTTAAAGCTATATATATTTATAAAAACTTCAATAATATATTTTAAAAAAGATCGAATATTATTTTCAAAAAAAAAAAATGAAGAAAAATATTTAAAAAACTAATTTTTGCCAATTCCATGGTAGAATTAAAAAGGCAAAGTCATGCAATGATATTTTAAATTTTTTAAAGCAATATATATTTATAAAAACTTCAATAATATATATAAAAAAGATCGAATATTATTTTCAAGAAAAAATTGAAGAAAAATATGTTATGTGTCCCTCTTAGGCAGCCTGAGATGTCTTGATATCGCCGACCAGCTCTGCCGACTCCCATTGGGGTGAGTCCCATCCCAACATCCGGCTCAGGAACAACAACAATAAACTATGGGAATTCACCAACAAAAGAACAACACTATAATGATGAACATGATACCATCCAAATCCATAACGTCTGTTGACACACGAGCCATTTAGCCGCCCTCCCTACCTTTGATCATCTCTTCCTTTTATTGTCCTGATGACCCCTTTTTCCGCACAATCCCACACCACTTACCTCCCTTTTATTCCCTCCTTAATAACTCTTTAACACATCCTCATTCTTTTCTTTCTTTAAACATACATTAAGTCATTTTATTATAATTAATATTAAAACTAATATATAAAAAAAAAAACTAACAAAAAAATTGTATTGATAAAATTATAAAAAAAATATAAATTAAACTTTAATAATAAAAATAACTCGTTAAAAGAGTATAGAGCAAAGTAATAATTATTTCTCTTTTTTTTTAACCTTTTTTTACGAACGGTCTTTTGACCAGATTAGAAAATAACTATAATGTTTTCTTTAGTCCTTTGGACGAACTCTAAACAATATCCAATAAGGATCAAAACACAGAATTACTCTAATAAACATGCTTTATACTATCGAATATACGACCCACCCTAACGTCACCAAAAAAAAAAGAGCTCTTTTCTACCTGGACTCAAAGGGGATCCGACGAATAGTTTCAAAACTTGCCTACTAGGAACATAAACTAATAATGTCCAAATAAAAACTCAATAAAACATTTAAGTTGATATACCTAACTCTAACAGTAGATCACATAAATAAATTTCAAATAAACAATAAATACACATAGAGGAATAAATAAAAAAAAAAACTTAAAAATATGAAAATTGGTTGTCGAAAAAAAAATTAATAAAATTCGTGATGTGTTAATGTGTTGTATGTGTTTGTAATTGTCAATATGTCTTATACTCCAGGGTCACCTCTACGACCATTCAAATCCTGATGAAGTCTAATAATACTTCGTCACATCCGCAACCTTTTAACATTAGTCAGAATAAGAATTCGTTGCGTTGGAATTACTTAAATAGTTAGAGGTTTATATGTAATCCCGGAACACTGTGACGTTAAAAAAAAAACAGGTTGGAGACTTCACTGCATAGAATCAAAGTTGGAAATATATTGGGTATTTTCTGGGTGCTGAGCTTTAAACTGACGAGTGGAGAGTTAATTCAATGTGTCAGTCCACCCATAGATGGTACTCGGGTGACACTATATCGTTGGGTACAGTTGACTTACCACTTTAAGTACAAATGTCGGTCAGTGGTGTTAATGTGAATATTGCCCACAAGATATCGCTGTCTGTACCCGACTCCGACCTTATTTGTTTGTCGGAGTATATTTAAGAAACGGTTTAATTAACCTTTGACACTTAAGGCTTATTCTCTCCTCCCTCCAGTCACCTAATTACCAATTACACGTTTATTTTTTTTTCTTTCACAAAACAAAAGATTTTTTTCACAAATAAAAATGTCAATATATTTCGATTATATGTTCAAAAAAAGGCTTTTTAGCTCAACACCACTAAATAACTAATCTGTTTTTCCCCATCAGTACTACCTTTTATAGGTTCGGGAACAAAAATGGTTCCTTTCCATTACTAGCCATTTTCCTAGCCCTCAAGATTTGTCCCTTTTTTCCTAAAACCAGTCGTCCCCCTCTAGGTTTATCTGCAACAAACCCTTTGCAACATTCTGAAATCCCATTTTCTCCGAACCTTTTAAGAGTAACTTTCACTCTTAAAAACATCCCCTTTTGCCGATAATACAGTATCATTCAATTTTTCTACGCTCTGTTTTGCCGACACGGATCTTTCGTTTGTCCGAACACTTCCTAAAATTTGGAGACTTAGATTCACCATATGACCCAAATGTCAAAATTACTAAGAAGTCAAAATCACGCAAAACACCAACAGCCAACACCAAGCGGTATCGTTCCAGTTTTAATTATTAAAATTTTTATTAATATTTTTTTCTTTCTTTTCAGCTTTTTTCTTGCAGGTATGGCCCCCATGATGAGATGCAGGAAACATTAAATTCTTTCAATAGAAGCAAGTATTCCCCAGCGTTTATTTGGTTTTCCTATGATGGAGAATATTGTTTCCTGTATTTCACATGTTGGGCTTTCGATCGGTGTGGGCAATGGATTGATGGCATGACAATCCAGTTGTCCACCCATATTTTATAAAGGGTGCAACGACAAACCATTACACCCCAACGAATCAAAAAAAACAAGCAAAACGGCACCTGGGCATGGCTAAACATACTTGGCACTATGTTTACCCCCTTTTCAGTGCCCAGGTGTCTCCATTATTAACTCCCCCATAAAAGAAAACAAAAAAAAACTTAGTGAACACGGCGGTCACGAGAGGCATTACAGTGGCCTGCCCATCCGGGAGTGTTCATTATAGCTACCGCTGGCTTCCCCAACTCTAGCGCATACTGGAAGCTAGTGGTTTTTCATGGTTGGTGGCCACCATGTAGGCGAAAAGGCCACTTTCTAAGGCCCTTCCACGTAAATTTTTTTTTGCTGTCGACTTGGGATTTTTCGTTTACAAGGCCCGCAACAAAACTCCAGGGCTGACAAGGCCCGAAGGCAGGACTGGTGTGCGGGCTGTATCGAACTATGTGACGTCCGGGATCAAGCCCAACGTGGGGAACTCTCACACCCTGAGATTAAGCCGGGCTCTGAGTTTACTTTTAATTTAGGGAAGTATTTTTTTTTTTTTTTTCTATCACATAAGTCCTTACTTGGTGTGTATTTACAGGTCAGTCGACTGGGTAAAAAAAATTGGAACAGAAATCTGGTCACTCATGCGCGAATAAGTCGGAAGATTACGTAAGTCAAAATATTGATATCTAATTACCAAATAGGGTATTAATAGTGAGGTGCTATGATTATAGGTTGTAGAATCTTATTGGAGGTATAGTTCGGGCGTAGATGCATAATTACGAGGTAGGGTATAAATCATTAAATAATCACTTCTATATGAA